TTTTGATCAGATTGTCAAACACAGAAAGCTATTGTTTTTTAATTTGTTTTTTGTTCAAAATCTCCTTGTTTACATCTGGCATTTTATGCTTTTCAGATTGGGACAATGGCTGACATAACAGCAATCTGTACTAATGAAAACTGCCGTAAAGAGTTTAACTGGAAAAGTCAGCCTTATATGGGTAGATTCCCTGCAGGAAATTTGCTCTTATCTTATGCTATCCTGGCAGGTGGAGGCTCAGCAAGTAAAGTAATTCAGATCTTTGAKCACATGAAACTGGCATGCCTATCGCTCACAACCTTCTACAACCACCAGCGTGTAAGTGAATAGATATTAAAATTGATCAACAACATCATCAACCCCCCTCCCCCTTATCTTACAAGCTGAGACTCCCAGCTTTATTARACTGCTGAAAATCTTCAGATATCTTACACCACCTACACATGCATAGATTTTTTTTGAAGCTGCATGTTATTTTATTCTATTGTTATCTTCTTTTTAGCAAATTCTCTTTCCGGCTGTTGTCATTTACTGGCAACGTTACCAGAAACAACTTCTGGAAAAGATCAAGGCAGAGAAAGAGAAGCAGGTTATTGCTGGAGACGGGAGACACGATAGCATGGGACATAGTGCCAAATATTGTGCCTACACGATATTTTCTTGCACTATGTCCCAGATCATCCACTTCGCTATTGTTCAGGTAAAAAGCTAGAACAACAAKTAATGTTATCATTCTTTTGACCAAAACCTTTTGCTTGTTATAGAGAAATGAGTGTGGAAGTAGTACTGCCATGGAGTACGAGGCATTCAAGAGATCCATGGAATACTTGCTGACAAGTCCAGTTGCCATTTCTACATTTGTATCGGATCGCCACACTTCAATTGTGAAACATATGAGAGAAGTGCTTGGACATATTATCCATTACTTTGATTTGTGGCACCTTAAAAAAAGTATGTTCCATAATTATATTTTTGATCATAATATTTGTAAAATGCAAAAATGGTATGATGTACATTCTTTATCAGAAATTGTCAAAGTTATTACAAAGATCTCAAAAGAGAAAGGTTGTGAAGACCTCCGCCAGTGGGTTAAACCCTGCTCAAACCATCTGCACTGGAGTGCAACATCTACCTATGATGGGAATGGTGATGTCATATGGGCAAAGTTTTCTTCTTTCCTGTCTCATATTGTGGACAAACATGATAATTTAAGCAACCCCCTATTCAACAAGTGCTACCATGGGCCAAATATTCCTGCTCGCCAATGGTTGTTRGAAGGTACTGTAGRCTCAGTCTTGATTTTTTCACAACATTTTAATGGAATAATTTGCATAGTGTATAAACTACTTAGTATTTTGGTGGATGCAGTATATTACAAAGCCTCAAGATTAATGTACACTCTTTTAATTAAAAAGATTCTGTTGCATATGAGAAAGTGACTAAAGAACTTAACAAGAACAGTCTTGAAAAAGCCATCAAAAAAGCCTCCCCTCTCGCACAAACAAGCTGTTTAGAGGGCTTTCACTCTGTTCTGAATCATTTTGCCCCCAAAATGATCCACTATTCATTTCCTGGGATGTTCTGCAGGTATGTAAGCAGGGATAAAGGGAAATTTTGGTTGATGTTTTGTTAGTATAGTTTACAACATGAGCGGCCGTGTTGTATGGGAATTACAATCTCGAGCCGCAGGCGAGAGATTGTAATTCCCATACAACACGGACGCGAATGTTGTAAACGACTTATAAAACTCCAACACAAATTAACATGAATTACAGTGAGATAAATGACGAAAAATGACAAATAAGGTAACTGCTGAGTTTAGTCCCTATTAAGCATGCGCAATTTACTGCAACACAGAACATTTTGAATAATTATCCATCCCACATGGAAAGCAAGCCATCTGTTGCATAAGCGAGTTCTGTTATCCGTCTTTGATTGCTTCAAAACCTAGTGAAGGTCTATGATGCGACACTAAAACTGAGACCTTTGCTAGTGTTGGGTTGTCTCAATGGTGACGACCGTGTTGTAAATCTGATACAACCACTAGTGGTTGTATCAGATTTACAAGGTCAATCACCTGATTAAATGGTCAGCCCTTATTGGAGCAATAGCTTATGCATTATTAATAAGTTTTATAAG